TTTTTTTACGTAATCCGTACATTCTTTATTCACTTTTTTTTTACAGCAAAGATAATTTATCCATTGTTCTAAAGTTAAATCTCATCTTACGGTTTAAACGCCGAAAGCCGGCTAAATATCGAGAAAAACAACAACATCAAAGAAAACAATAGGCCGAAAACTGTTACAAAACCAAGTGAACTGCAGATATTTCTATCATCTTCTATAAAGACTCAATAAGTCACTAATAAATCTCAATTAGTTACTATCGTTCTGTATTATAAGGTAGTATTGTAAAACGAAATTTCATGTGGTTACTCTACACATTCATGTAGTATAATTTCCGATAATGAAGGAAAGAACGATTATTATAAAATCGATATTAAGTTATCCAGAAGAACGCAATGCCATAAACCTTGCTTATAAAACAGGTTCTTTACGTAGATAGTATTATATTGGAGATAATGACAGAGAACTCTATTCCAGGATTTGAGAACTTTGGCAGAACAGTATTTAACCATATATGGAGTACCTAATTAGTCAGACTAAAGTACTGAAAAGAACAAAGACATTCTTGGATATACAGATACATCATTTACAGAAAAATTAAACCACTAATCAATTGAAATCTGGGTTAGGTTATTTATGTCTATTACTAGACATAAATATTACTAGACATGTCTATTATGTTTATTACTGTTACTATTATGTGAAAAATGACGGGACAAGTACTACCACCCCCACCCCATAGTATACCCTAACCTCACATTTCATAGTTAACTGAAATAACTAAATTTTGCGTTATCAAGCTTGACCAAAAAAAAGAGGCAGAAAAGTACAGTTGAGGCAGTCAAACGTCGGTAAATTCCATTGTGAGCCAATCAAAATTAAGATCATTCATGAAATGAATTCGTGGCGTATTCATAGAATAATTATTGGTAAAAATCAGTTAGATTAACAACTTCTAATATATAGAAATGGCAGTGCGGTTTGGTAATAATGCGTTCCGACAATGGCTTTTATGTTATGTTGCTTAGCAAGAAAAGTAAAACTTAATATTGTTGTTAATCTATGTACTGAAAGTATCAAATGAAATGTATAGACAACAAAACTGGAAAAATATTTGTTGATTTCTTAATTTAGAGTCTCTGTTGATTAAAGAGGTTTGCTTTTTATTAAAAATCTTGGTTATATAACAAAAAAACTTAAGTCAAAACAATTTAAGCTTAAAATTGAATCGATATTTTTACTTTCATTATAATATTTTTGCACTAGGTGATCGTACACTACATCTTTACTTTAGGCTTATTATACCAACATTCACTACACTTATAAGGTTTCACGCCCCCCACACCTCTCTCACGGCTCCCTTGCACCCCATCACTAAAATCGTAATGGGGAAACGATAATCGAACTATTCTATCTGGATAAATGCATTTTGGCTTTTATGACTCTTCCTATTTCGAGAAATCAAGCGTGACGTGAAGTGACACACACGAGCTTTTATAAAGGTTTAGATTAAAAACATCATTGTTTCCTAATCTCTAATTGCAGTAGTATTGTTGTATAGTTTTTTTCTGTATTAGGTAATATTTGTTTTGTAATAATCGTTTTTATCTATATTGTTGGAAACATATTACGCTCACGCAAGTTACTTGTATAAATAATTGTTCTTCTTTTGAAAGTTATTTTAAAAATTACAATTACTTTTGATCTGTACTGGATTGAACATACTGAAAAAGACGAAAATCGAAATGTTGATAAAAATAATATAAGCGTTATAATACCTGAAGTTAATCGTACGTTTATGGAATACATCATTAGTTTTAAGGTATCGCATTCTGTATAATATTGGCATAGTTGACGCAAGGAATGCAATTTATTTGCATAAATGATGCACCGTTACTGTAATCTTACAATCTTACAAACTTAATTATTGGATATTTTTGTCTTTTCTCTATTTCTCTCTATATATTCCACCTCATGATGCGTGACATAGACAACCATTGGCGTGTAACGTTTTCTTTGGGGCTGGATTTGTATTATTAAGTACGTTTTTATATTGTATGGAAATAATTATTAATTTAAGCATATTTAATAAACTTGTTTTACCAGATGGCGGAATCGTGCGAAATAATGATTCTATCTCTGTTGGGCGGATTTTTAGCTTGCGAATGGAAAATAACATCTGTCCAGGAAGCGCTTCTAACGTCAGTAAGTATAACGTTTCTTGTATTTTTTTATAATTTCTGACAGAATGAAAACAGTAAAGTTTATTATTAATAAATTATGTTGTTCCCCAGTATTTCATCAGGAAGTTGGAGTTCATGCAGTCCTAGACATAAATCGTATAACACTCTTTCTAACAGCACTAAACATTAATCAACTTTTTCTTAATTAACCAGTTTTTTATGCTCTCTGTCTGCACACTGATTTATGTGCTCTAGTCTCAGTGTGCGTATTTATGTGTATTTATGGTTATTTAAATAACACTTAAGAAGCGCGTAGGGTTAAACAAAGCCCAAATTAAAGAACTCATTAAACTGAACGTTTATGCAAAGTAAACTTTACTTGTTCTGAAGTAAAATGGGAATAAATGTGTAAGTTAATCGTGTGATATCCAGTAACGAAATATGCATCTATTATAGCACAGATTTTGACAGTACAAAAATTAATTCCGATGTGTTTTAGTTAAGCACAAAGCTATACAATAGGCTAACTCTGCTGTGCCCACCACGGGTATCGAAATCCGCTGCACTACTGTGGGCCATTCTGATGTGAGAGAAGAAGAGAATAGCTCAGAAAATGGTTTATGCAAACCAAATAACTTAATAAAAAGAAAGTTAAAAATTACAAGAATTATTAAAACTTGATGTTGAAATAGAAATTGAAGGAAAAACGATCAAGTAAAACTGGGGAATAAATAAATCCATTTTTATTAGTTTCTCACATTTATCAGTTAAAATAAAGGCTTCAAGCTAAAACCATATTATTTTCAATTATGCGTTAACTTTAGTTAAGTTTCTCACTGACCGATCTTGATCTAGAGTTCCATAGAAAATGATCCTTAGGATCAATCGTATGATTAGAAATTGAATATCACTATACATTATCTTCTAATGGAAATTATAAGACCCAACGACTTGTTTATAGCTTCCTTATAGTTAGTTGGAGAAAGTACAAGAATTTATAACGCTATTAGGATATACAATACAAAACCCAACGACTTGTTTATAGCGAAAGTACAAGGATTTATAACGCTATTAGGATATACAATACAGAAGTGCCACTCCAGCATTTGACTTCGCTGACCCTTCAAAACAATAAAGTGCTTTGTTCAAGTATATACGTTTGATTCTTTATGTCTGTTTATATTTTAGTTTTTATTATTATTTTAAATTGTTTGTTTACATATTTTCCACATTTGGCAGATGGTGTTTCTTGGAATGGGTATTGGATGTCCGATTTTGGGTAAAATGACCGATACATATGGTCGTATAAAGGTAGGGGACACTCATTCTACTTATTCTGGATTGTTTCTGTAAGTTTTAATGAGTATCAAATGTGGTTAATCTTTCAAGCGCTTTTTACGTGACATAATTTATGGTTATATATAGGTTCTTTACATTTTACTTTGTAAGCTGGTATGAAAGAAGGGTCCTAAACTGAACAAATTATCAAATTGATTGTAAGTTGAAGGTTAATGAAAAGAACAGTTAATAAAACTATAGGAGAAATTCTCTTAAATAGGTAGATACTAAAAGGCCGGTTAATTTGTATGCATTTTATTATTTATACCGACCACACACACATATCATATATATATATATATTACACACACACAACCATACTTAAAGTATACGTTTATACGTTTTTATGATACACTTCAGTTTGTTATGAAGATAACTTAAAGTCGACTTATGATACCAGGGCACGGTGTCTCTTTAGAACCTGAAAATGTTTACAAAAAATAGAAAGTTAGGTCATTACTTCACTTAGACAAACACGGAAAGTTCAAAGGCGCAAATTGCAGAATTTAGAATCTCTTAATTTAAGAATTCGTGAAAAATAGCTTTGACTGTGCATGTACGTTTTTCTTATAGATAATGATCCATTGTTACAGACAGTCACTAATTATCAAGCATAAGTCACTATTGTACTGTATAACAAAGTGTTTATGGTCTCTGAATAATTTAGATCACTGCAAGCGTTTTTATAAAAACCTACATTTATTATATCACTGCTATCTTTATCTGATGTTTCTTGTTCTTCTCATTATATTTGTTTTCGGAGCTAGGAATATTTCAGATTAAAACTTGAGTAAGGAATCATGTTATGCTAATATAATAATGGGTAGGAAGAGTTTTATTAATGATGGAACATACTACGTGATTCGACAAAACATTGGTCTGTTTTCTTCAGGTATGATATGTACGAAGCAATACCGAGCTTATATATACTATTATAGTTACAAAGATAAAAGACAAAAGGTTTGAATGTCAGCAGGTGACAGGATATAGGGAAAGATCAAGTCTAGTTAAATGTACGAACGGTGAACAGACATTGTCAAACGCGGCTGATGTTGCTAGGGCCATTATCACGGTTTATTGAGAGATCGTTTGTTTTGGTGATTTCTATAGTTTCTTTCTTTTTTTAGTTTTGGGTTTGTGTAGGAGAATAATTTCATCCCAATGTATTTTGTGACCCGTTTCGTATTAATATGTGACGTTTGTCCTATTTATTTATTTCCACATTCATATAGGATACTACATACACCTTGTGTTTGTTTCTTTAGTCGGGATTCTGTCAGGTTAGGTAGTAAGGTGTTAATTTTATGTGAAGTTTTGAATACAGTTTTTACATCGATGATCAAATTATTAAATACGCTAGTCATTTCATTGACAATTTCTGGCATAAAAGATATTGAAACAAATTTGTTATGTTTTATGTTGTTGATAGAAAGAAGGTTAGAGTTGACATAATATTTTAATACAACCCTATCTACGATGCTAGGGTTGAAACCTCTAGATAGTTCTATATTCTTCAAGCAGTTAAATTCAATTAGTAAGCCTTCTTTGTGGGTACAAAGCTGTATAGCACGATTTATGTAGGTGAAGTAGGAGATAGGTGGTGATTAGATCTTATATGTGGCAATGGGGTTTCCTGTATATACTGGTGCTAACTTCGTTATTTTGTCTTATAACACCAACATCTAAAAGGGGAGGCAACTGTGGGATTCTAATTATACGTGAAAATTATGACAGTGGGTCTCAAGGTGTCTAAGAATTCAATGAATTTAAGTAGTGTATCTTTCCTATATCGCCATATACTAAACATATCGTTTACATATCTTAACCAGATTTCAGACTTCTTGGTGTTTGTGAATTTGTTTCCAAATAGTACTTCTAGAACAGACACGTAGAGGTCACTAAGTAGAGGGAAAGTGGGAATCCCATCTTTAAACCATTATTCTATTAGTGACCTCTATATATGAAGGCCAGTTTTACAAAGTAGAGGGGAAAGTGGGGATCCCATCTTTAAACCATTATTCTGTTTGTAAAACTGGCCTTCATATGTAAAATAAGTGTTGTTTAAGCAGTATTCTGCGAGGTTGATAAGGTGGTCTGTTACAGGGTTGTCTTCTAGATTTTCTGTTAGACGGTGTAAGGCTTGTTCTACAGGTATTGAGATAAATAGAGCTTTTTATATCGAAAGATATTAAGATATTTTCTTGGTTGAGTCTAAATTTTTGGTTTTGTTGACAAAGTCTATCGTGTTTTTAATAGACAATGGGTTGGTTTAAAGTAGAGGGCTTAATTTAATCTATTAAGTATGAAATTAGCAAGGATTTGTAATGTTGAGCCTGTGATAGATACTTTTGGTCTGTAAGGAATGTTGTCTTTCTGAATAAGGGAATTTTTATCTTTAGCAGTAAGAATAGGGTAACCGTTGGCTAGTTTTTAATGATCGAAAGTACTTTGTTGGTAGGATCACCTGTGAGTAAGGTGTAAGATCCGTCCATTAATAATGTGTTGACTCCAGCTTTGTAATGTGGTTTATCGACAACTATAGAATAAGTAACCGCCTTTTTAAAGCTCTCGTTATGTATATCTTATTGTTAGATTCTAATTAATTTAAGGCGTTGACTTAACTTCTGTTGAGGTTAGGTTTTAGTGTTTTGTCCATATATGTTGAAAGTATAAAATTTAACACAGAAATCTGATTACTGATTTATGGTTCACTTGAGATGTTTAAAACTGAAGGAGGAAAATCAACAGGTTTAAAATGTTTTACCTCTTCTTTGTGGTTTTCTATCAACTTCTTCAGTTTCTTGTTTTCGTGTGCTTTTTTTCTTTTTTGCAATGTTTATGGTTATTAAAACCGTATCATTACCCAAGTGAAGATAACTTTTCTTGTTAAAAGTTTAAGTTATTCTCGTATCTCTTCTGAACTGTTGTACAAAGATAATCACACTTAATTGGTTCGTGTAATTAACATTATTAGATAATCATGCGGGCTTAAAAAAAGAGTTATTTATAACAGAATTTTAGCCTTGTTGAATTTATTACTTATGTTATCATCTAGGTAGTTAGAGTTAGCACTGTAATTCTGGTAATTTGTGGAATTCTGACTGTCTTCTCACCATCTATTACATGGATGATCGTATTTCGTTGGAGTTGTGGTTTTTTAATACCTGGTGTGAACGGGATGTAAGTATGAAAATAATATAAAAAAGTATAAATCTTGCATTTTACAACCACTCGTAATCTTCAATAGTATTTATCTGTGTAAATTTCGTATTCGAAAGATATTACGATAGTGTGGAAAAATTAGTTATAAATAAGCTTTAACCACACTATATTCTTTTTAGCGAATTATGAGCTTCTGTGTTATTATGACAATATAAGGAATTGTTCTGAAATCAAGCTTAAATTAAAAACCAACTTTTTGTTTTCGAATAATCGAAATATATAAATTGTCAAGCTAAATATTGATATATGCTTCTAATCTGTAAGTTAATGTTTAATATGTGGAGGTAAACTTACAAATTATGTTTATATTAACACTATTATTCACTATTTTACTTAAGTATTTAAACTTGATGTTTTTGATGTTCTTTTGAACTGTTTTTAATGGATAAAACATAAAACTATGTATGATACGTAAACGTTGAAACATAAAAAAAAAATCTTTTTTTTTCAGAATGGTCCTGTTTATGGAATATCTTCCCACTAAATTGCGCGGGAAATGCACATTGTTTTTATATGTAAGTTTTTTTTCATTTACTTGTTTGTGAAGCGAGACCTATGCAGTTTTCGAACATTTACTAAACTGTTTTTCTTTCACAGTTTATTACAATTTACAACTTTTACAGTAAGTAAGATTAGTTTTTAGAACAGGTACGACGTTTCGATCACTGGTAAGATCATTATAAAGGTGTAAACTACACGGTAACTCCTCTCACCAACCCAGTGTTAGATTTAAAAACCAGCCTTGAAGATGTATGCAGGAAAGTGATAATAGAATCAAATCGTAAATACAATCAGCAGCAACTAATCCCAAGTTAAAGACCACAAGAAGAGTCCTCGTCTAATTCATCTCAGGACAAAGAAGAGTCATCAAAACATTCAACATTCTAAAAAACAAGAACAATTTAATGAGCAATTTCCTTTTCAAACCAAAAGCAGGTTAATCAAAAACATCCTATATGAATTTAGTGAAAAAATACTAAACGAAATGAAGCCTATAAACAAAATTTGACATCAGTAAAAAGAAAAGGCCTAAAACTTCTTAGTAACAACGAAAACATTGTCATTCAAAGAGCCGATAAAGGAAACTCGATCGTTATTTTAACAATAAACAGTATGATTCCTTAATAGTAAATATATTGAATGATACGTCTAAGTTTACTCAGTCCAATATTGACCTTAACCCAACATATAACAAAATATTTAGAAAACTACTCAATATGCTATTAAAAAACTATTACCTTTAACCTTTGTAATTTTATTCATACAAACCAACCTATAACACCAAAAATCTACGGTTTACCAAAAGTCCATAAAATCCCTTACGCCCAATTATGTTTTTCTTTCAGTTGTTAGAATATTGTTTATATTAAGAACGTCGATGCGACATTGTTCGGTGCGGGTTTATAAGTTCCTGATAACTAGCCCTTGAATTCCTTTGATTTTTAATTGGTCCATTCTGTATTTATGAAAGTATATTTGTTTTTTACTTTTAATATCCTAGAAAGAAAAAACTTGAAAATAAGCTCATGAAAAATTGCTTTCGACCTTATGAATTCGTTGTTGTTTCTTTGGCAGCATTACATCGTCGAATATATATGTATGTTTATGCTTCTATGTTACATAGAGTGGCCTTATCTTCAATTTGTGTACATCCTGATAGGTAGATAAACTCCGTGGCTACGTATATGGATTCTGTAGGTTCTCCCCATACCAAGAATCCCTCTGAAACAATCTAGATCAAGAAATTTGGAAATAATATTTAACAAATGAGAGAAATGTTCATATTGAATATGTTATTATACTATATAGGGTTTCTGGGGCGTTGGTTCGATCGTTATAACTTTGACAGCTATGGCCGTCATGACAACAAAAAACTCCTGGCGTGTTGTGTTATTTATCTCCGTGACGCCTTTGATCATCTTTTTGATTTTATCAAAGGTAAGGTTCTATCATGCAGTATTAAAAATTGTTCAGTTTACTATCAAATTTATAATAATTTAAGCAATTGGAACTTATTCATTTCAACAAGCGCCAAACATTAAAGCATTTAAACATAAATATTTTTATATTATGAGAACATTTTGAAAGGTCTTAATGAAATATAAATTACATGTATATATGTTTCTGGCTTGAAAAAGAGCGTTTGCTCTAAACGTTTCCAAGTAAATAAATTTCTACTATAATTTTTAAAGATAATTTTTTCTCTAAAAGTATTTTCTTTATCTTATCACTTTCGCATTTTTCTACTTATATGTGTATACATACATACACCACAAACACATGATACTTTAGTGAATAATTAATCTTCTAGTGGTGTCCGGAGAGTGCTAGATATATGTTGGCTCATGGTAAAATCAAAGAAGCAGAGGATACTATCATAAAAATGGCGGAGGAAAACGGGTTGTCAAGACCAGCTGGTAAACTGCAGAATTCGTCTAATACAACACAAAGAAAATCTATTATATGTCTATTCAAGGATGAAAACACAGTTTTCTTTTGTTTGATTTTCTTGTGGTGAGTAAATAACTTGGCTTTTTTAGTTGAACGTTTTGTTAATCGTTTTTTAAAATATTAAATCAAAAATTAATGAAAAGATTACTTCTTTACCATGAAAACATTATATACACCTGGAAAAAAGTTAAGCACCCCCGTGTTTTTTCAAGTGATTCAGATT